CAAACAAGTGACTGAGTGGAGACTAAACTCAAAGTACTTAACCCCAGAATGGCACAGACACTGACCGATGAACAGCAATGCAGAATACCAGTGGGGTGTCAACCCCAGACTTCTTGTGGGTGCACAGACCTAGGTCCCGGGGAGCCAGAGGTGAAACTCCACGCAGCTGTTCCCAAGCTAAGCAGGGAGCTTCTAGAAGAGCAAGCAGGCCCAGAGTGCATTTCCCTCGTTAGCCTTTGGCTCTGACCTGGGGGGGAGGGGCACAGTCAGCGTATCTGGGGTAATGTGGGAAAGAGGGGGTTCTTTTGGTCGGCCATGCATAGGGCCTGGGCGCTGTCCCTCAGCTCTTCAGCTCAAGGCGAGCACTCTACCAATTAAGCCACATCACCACTTCTGGTTTTCTGGTGGTTCATTGGAGGTAAGAGTCTCGCAGACTTTCCTGCCCGGGCTGGCTTTGACCCACGATCCTTAGATCTCAGTCTCTTGAGTATCTAGGATGACAGGCGTGAGCCACTGGTACTCGGCTTGGCAAGGGGGAAGGCCTGCTCTGAGCTAGAGCACGCAGCTGGCTCTGACGGCCGCCCGGCCTGCAGCAGGACCACTTGGCCCCTGGCAGGAAGATGGCGGCCCACCAGCCATCTCTGTGCTGCCCTCCTTCGGCTGACAGAGGAGGAAGAGGCGGGGTGAGCTGCGGGGGGGGGGGGGGGGGGGGGGGGGGACACACACAGGCCCAGGGCCCTGGAGAACCCAGCAGTCAAAGACACTGCAGGAGTGGAGACGAACCCTCAAGTGAGCTCTGGGCGGCGCCCTCCAGGCCACCAAGGGCTCCAGGTTTGTGAATTCATAATCCGAATCTCTACCTGCGTGGCTTGGCCTAAGTCCGTGTGGGTTCCGCTTACCCAGCATGCATGGAGACTACAACTCCCAGAAGCCACTTGGACCAGAAGTGGGCACCAGACTCTGACTGCTCTTTATTCTGGGAAATGTAGTTCATATGTTGCCAGGCTTGGAAAAGACTCAGCGTGGTGCCTCCTGGGATGATAGTTTTGTGCAGTCTGAGGGTCAGGCTGTAGGAGCAGATGACCCTCGCCCCTGGGGGGGGAGGGCAGCAGATTCCCCACTTGGGGTTCAGAGTTTCCGTGTGGGATCCTCCCCCGTGCGATGGCAAAACACTGTTGATGGATTATTTCTCTCTCAAACTTGAATAAACCTCCCAGAGCCTCAGCCCCAAGTAATAATAATTCTTACCTTGCAGGCAGATGACATCTACCAATTAGCAAAGTGCCTGCTGTGTCTGTGGTTAGAACTCCTCTTCTTTTAGAACTACAGCGACGGCCAAAGCAAACGGATGTGTTTTGCAACAAACAGGAGTGCTTTGCTCCCAAGGGGTGATTTTGACTGTGGTCACAGGTGGGACCTGGAACCTCTGGGGTTGCAGGTGAAACCCAGGCTCCGGTGCTCGATGTCTCTGCAGCGATGCCAGCGGGGGGCCTCTCTCTGGGGCCGGCTCAATGCCCTCAGCAGAGCGTCCTCAGCGCTCATGCAGCAGGCGTCAGCATCGCCTTCCTTTTTTATGACAGCGTACTATTCCGCAGTGTAGGCTCTCTGTGTCCTGTGTGTCTGCCACTCTGCCGATGGCCCCTTGGGTTGCTTTTGCATCTTGGCCCCTGAGAGCAGCGTTGCTCACAGCTCCGCCAAACAGCCGTGTGCAGGGCTCTGCAGCATTCTTGTAGGTGAACCCCCAGACATGGGGGCATGCAGGTTTGTGGGGGTGATGGCTCAAGAGTTGTCTGAGAACCGGCCCAGGTCCTGGGTTGGACTTGGGTGTGGTCCTGAGGAGGCCAGCAATGGGAAACGTGGAATAGGGAGATACAGGCCGTGGTTCAGATCTGAGCTCCGCCACTTCACTGCCGTGGGACCTGGGCTGCCCCTCCCCCGACCATGCTGCAGGACAGGAGGCCACGGACGGACAGGCATCTGCAGGGTGACTGCTGACGGTTGCTCAAGGAGCTCAAGGCCGGGCTCGGTTATTATTATTCTGTTTTAAAGATTATTACATAGAAAAAGTAGGTGTTGTTCTAAAACGACCTTTGCGCACCTCCTGTGCCCCACCCCCCACCACAACACGGGGCGTTGCCCTCGGAGCTGGAGGGATGGTTCACGGCTGGGTTCCTGTCTTCCAGAGGGAACCGCCCAAGGTGAAGACGCACGCAATCCCTGTGTGTCCCTGGGAAAATTGCTTCACCTCTCTGAGCCCTTTCCTGATCTGCCACAGGGGTCTGGTTGGGGTCAGAATCAGATGGATCAAAAGATGTCGGTAGCTGGGTGGTGTTTGGCACACACCTGTAATCCTAGCTCCTTCGAGGGTGAGATCTGAGGATGGAGGTTTGAAGCCAGCTTGGGCAGGAAAAGTCCCTGAGACTCTTACCTCCATTGAGTCATCAAAAAGCCAGAAGCAGAGCTGTGGCTCAAGAGGTAAAGCATCGATCTTGAGCAAAAAAAAGCTCAGCGCCCAGGCCCTGAGTTCAAGCCCCAGGGCTGGTGCAGACACATGTGTGGGGCAGCAATGCTTGTCCCAGGAACTTCAGCTGCCTCTGCAGGGTCTGGGGAGCCCCCCCCCCAGGAGCTCCGGGCCACCAGAGAGAACATTCCACAAAGTTCACCAGAAGGTCAGGCATTTCCCTCTAGCCCGCAGGTAAGAGTGAGCTCACCTCCAGTGGGACCCATCCATCCAAGCCCTGTTCCGGGCCAATCAGAGCACGCCGTCCGGTTTCCATGGAGACGGGGAGGCCGCAGGGGCCTGGGCAAGGCTCCAGCCTTCCTCCAGCAGGGTAAAGGCCCAGCACGGCCTGGGGTGAGGGTGGTACCCTGCCCTCCTGCCCTTCGGCTGGGGCGCGGGGGTTGCAGGCATTGGCTGCCGGCCTGGGTATTTCTCTTAGGCTGCTCTGCCCGCCCTGACTTCCGCCATTCATAATATTTATCTCTGCCAATCCCCAAACTCGCCCATGAGGTCACACCTCTGGGAAGGCACCAGGGCTCAAGGTCAGGCAGCAGAGACGCAGGGACTGGTGGGAAGTCAAACTCTGTGCAGGTGGCCACCGCCGTCAGACTGGCTCAGGCCGGAGGAGGAGTCCAGGGCGGGGGAGGGGCATCCAGGTGTCAACCAAGACGCTGGTGTGAAAAGCACAGACCAGTGATGGGGACGGGGCTTCATGGGAGGAGAGGTGAAGTCGGCCAAGCTCCAAAGCCCCGTATGTGTCCCCCCGGGTCGGGCTCCCCAGCCTGTGCGGGCCTGCCTTCCCAGCAGCCTCTTCCCATGCCAATGGACCTTGAGCGCCCCGAGCCTGCAGCCCGGGCCTCGCCACACACACAGGGACCCAGCTGTTCCCCTGTGCTGCCACGGCTTTGGGAGAGAAGAGGGAAGGAGATGCCCGTCCTCAGTGGAAGTGTGTCTGTGGGAGCCCAGACACGTTATGACGGAGAAACGTGAGCAGAGAACTCACTGGAGGAGTTGTATTTCCCTTACTTTGGGAGTGAGTGGAAGGAAAAAGAGCTCTAGGAGGAGCCACACCAAAAGCTCTGTCCATCTGCTCACCTGTCATCTTCCATTCACCATCCACCGCCCATCCCCCCAGATCCTTCCACCCACCCAAGTCCTGTCTACCCACCCAACATCTACATACGTACCTGAAACCATCTATCCATCCACTCATCCTTTACCCAACCGCCCATCCATCCATGCATGCATGCATCCATCCAACCATCCAACCATCCATCTATCTATCCATCCATCCAACCGTCTATCCATGTATCCATCCTTCATCTACCCATCCATCCAACGAACCATCTACCTGTCCTTCATCCACTCGCCCACTCATCCATCCATCCATCCATCCATCCATCCATCTGTTCACCCATGTATTCAATGATCATTTGCTGAGTACAAATTTCTGTCAGGCCATAGATTAAAGCCATTATTTGACATTTCCCCCCAGTTCTTTCTTTTTTAGTGTTCTGGGGATAGACCCACAGTCTTGGAAGTTATGCACCACTGAGCTACCCTACCCTACCAGTCTATTCAATGTTTTTGGTGAAAGTCTTGGGGCTTGAACTCAAGGTCTAAGTACTCTCCTTGAGTTTTTATGCTCGTTATACTCTATCACTTGAGTCACAGTTCTACTTCTGGCTTTTTGGTGGTTAACTGGAGATAAGAGCTCACAGCCTTTCTGGCCTAGGCTCCCAACTGTGATCCTCCGATCTCAGCCTCCTCAGTAGCTTGGATTACAGGAGTGAGCCACTGGTGCCAAGCTGTTTTGGTTATTTTGAATAGAGTCCCACACTTACGTCCAGGCTGGCCTGGACCATGACCTCCGATTTATGCTTCCGGTGCCCCCCATCTATACTTCCTGTGTTGCTGGGATGACAGGTATGATTTTGTTGCAGCTGCCCAAGACACCCACAGGCTGGCCAGTGATACCACACAGGGTTCGCTGGGGGCTTCATCCACAGTCCTTGGGGACAGGGCACTCTGTGGATGGGGGTGGCCAGTCCCCTGGGGACCAGAATGAAGTCTCAGTTGGCTCCTATGGGAGAGAGAAATGAGGGCTCCACCCCCCCCCCCCCCCCTCTGCCATGAGGCAGTCGTAGGTGTCTGCTGACTGGGTAGGGACTTTTTTTCTTTTAACTTTGTTTTTTAAATGTGTCAACCAGGCCTGGGCTGGCGGGGTGCGGTATGCTCTGCACTGGTGTCTGTCAACACAGCTGTTTATGACGGCTCCTGCTGTAACCTTCAGCTTCTGGAGGAAGCTGGCCAGGCCCACGGGGACTTAGGTGGCTGCAAGCTTTTCCTGTGGCCCACTGCTCCTCCTCCGACCTCGGTAGGCCCAAATGTCACCTCCCCCAGGAGGCTGTGACCACCAGGCGTGAATCCTGCCCGTCTCGTCCACAAACGTCACCGGCTTTGTCTGAAGCCAGCAGACCCATCTGGGAGAGTCCGGCTACCCAGGATCACCGCCCACGGTCTGCTTCCATTTCTTTTCATTTCTTTATTACTTGTGTGTGTGCGCCAGCCCTGGAGCAGGAACTCAGGGCCTGGGCGCTGTCTCTTAAGCTCTTTTGCTCAAGGCTGGTGGTGCTCTACCATTTGAGCCACAGCTCCACTTGTGACTTTTGGTGGTTCATTGGAGGCGGTAGGAGTCTCACAGACTTTCCTGTCTGGGCTGGCTTTGAACCACAATCCTCAGATCTCAGCCTCCTGAGTAGTTAGGGTGACAGGTGTGAGGCACTGGCGCCCCACTAAGTGATGCTTCTTGACTTGACCCCCAGACATGGGCCTGGCCAGGGCTGGGCAGCTGCGGTTCTCGGCACAGGGGGTCAGCACGCGGGCTGCTCACGCACGGGGCCCGAGGGGCGGCTCTGGGTGGGGTCCTGCTTAACCAGGGCCTGTGCCCAGGACACGCCTGTCCCTCTCCCTCCTTTCAACAGCCCAGTTCCTGAGGAAGACAGTGTGGCTTTCAGAGGCTGACTGGCGCAGGGCGCGGGGCGTGCGCCCGATCGGGGCGGCCTTCCTTCCCCGTCCCTCCAGCGGCAGCCCTGTGACAGCGGTGCGCGCCTGGGCCCCGGGGTTTGTTGAGTGAATAAACAAGCCCATTAGCACCCCAGGTCTGAAAGGCCCAAAGAGGCCCGGTTGGACGCAGAGGTGTCCCCAGCAAGCCTGGTCTGCCCCGGAAGGCGCGCGCGCGGGGCTGGGGTGGCACTTCCGCCCTCGGAGCCCCGCGGGCAGCGCAGCAGCTGGGCTGTGGCCTCTCCCCCGGGACCGTGCAGGTCTCAGAACAATGCCGGGACAGGAAGCCACGCTCCAAGGCCCTCAGAGCTTTCTGGGCAGTGCTGGCAGCCAGGGGAGGATGGTGAGGTGCCCGGGCAGGGCGGCGGCCTGGGCCTGGCTGCCCGCCTCCCCACAATGGCCACCGTGCTGCGTGGCTTCGGTTGCTGGCGCAGCTCAGCGGGGCGTGGGGCGCAGACCACCTGGTCCTCCCCGCTCCCCACCACCCCCGCGTCCTGTTCACTCGTGGGGTCAGCGAGTTCAGGGAGCTGTGCAGCCACCATGGTCAACTGCAGAGCATGTTCACCACCCTGAAGAAAGATCTGGAACCCCCTCTGTCCCCCCCCAACAATGTCCCTACATCCCCTGTTCTCACAAACCCTGGATCTGTCTGGTCTTGGAACGCGCACATGTGTGGGCTCTGCTATCCCATGAGTAGGGGTGGTCTCCTGATGGGAAAGTGGGGTTCAGAGAGGTTGTCACACAGCCAAGGGAGGGCAGGACTGGGCTTGGTCCCCCCCCAAGTCCATGCTTCCCCCTGTGCTCTTCTCCCGCGCTGAAGCGCGGCCCTGGCCTGCAGCTGCCAGGCACTGTCTGCCTCTGACTTTCCCTTCTCGCGTGGATGGCGCTCAGAGGGAGACGGGTTCAGAGAGGCGAATGGACGCCGGGCGCCGTGGTGCACACCTGCCACCCCAGCTACTTAGAGGCTCACATCTGAGGGTCGTGGTTCAAAACCAACCCAGGCAGGAAAGTTTGCAAGACTCGAATCTCCCAGAAACCACCCAGACGCGGAGCTGTGGCTCCGGGAGTAGAGTTTGGAGCGCAGGAACTCAGGACAGCACCCAGCACCCTGAGTCCAGCCCCAGCATCCTGAGCTCCAGCCCCGCCCCCTGAGTTCCAGCCCCGCCCCCTGAGCTCCAGCCCCGCCCCCGGAGTTCCAGCCCCGCCCCCTGAGTTCCAGCCCCGCCCCCTGAGTTCCAGCCCCGCCCCCTGAGTTCCAGCCCCAGCATCCTGAGCTCCAGCCCCGCCCCTGAGCTCCAGCCCCGCCCCCTGAGCTCCAGCCCCTCCCCCTGAGTCCAGCCCCAGCATCCTGAGTTCCAGCCCCGCCCCCTGAGTTCCAGCCCCGCCCCCTGAGTTCCAGCCCCGCCCCCTGAGTCCAGCCCCAGCATCCTGAGTTCCAGCCCCGCCCCTGAGTTCCAGCCCCGCCCCCTGAGTTCCAGCCCCGCCCCCTGAGTTCCAGCCCCGCCCCCTGAGTTCCAGCCCCGCCCCCTGAGCTCCAGCCCCAGGACCCTGAGCTCCAGCCCCAGGACCCTGAGCTCCAGCCCCAGCATCCTGAATTCCAGCCCCGCCCCCTGAGTCCAGCCCCAGCATCCTGAGTTCCAGCCCCGCCCCCTGAGCTCCAACCCCACCCCCTGAGTTCCAGCCCCGCCCCCTGAGTTCTAGCCCCCCTGCTGAGCTCCAGCCCCCCCCCCCTCTCCCCCCCCCCCCCCCCTGAGCTCCAGCCCCAGGACTGGCACAAGAAAAATAAAAAGTGAGATCCAGGCAGGGCCAGTTAAGTGTGGCTGCGGTTAAGGGAGAAAAACACTCCTGGAAGAGATGTCAAGCCGGGCGCCAGGGGCTCACACCTGTCATCCTAGCTGCTCAGGAGGCTGAGGTCTGAGGATCTCGGTTCAAAGCCAGCCCGGGCAGGAAAGACCGTGAGACTCTTATCTCCAATAAACCACCAGAAAAACCAGAAGTGGCGCTGTGGCTCAAGCAAAAGCAGCTCAGGCACAGCGCCCAGGCCCCGAGTTCAAGCCCAGGACTGGCAGAAAAGAAAGAAGATGGCTCTGAGCCCAGCCGGGACGGGAGCGCGAGCGGCCGCAGCTCCCGCAGCCCGGCCCGGCCGCCCTTTCGGGTCGGGGGCGGGAGGGAGCCCGCGCGGGGCGCCGACAGAGCCCCGGGCGCCCCATTCCCGCCACGTCACCCGGATTCCACGCTCTGCGCCCGGCCGAGCGACGGCGCTGCCTCAGTTTCCTCCGGGGCGCGCGGAGGCGGGGCTCCGGGCCTGGGCGGCCCCGGGGTGCAGGAGGGGCCGGGCGGCGCGGCGGGGCCGGCCCGGGGTCACGTGGCGCGGCCGGGCCCCGCGGTGCAGGGCGTTCGCTGCCGGGGCGCGCGGGCCGGGACGCGGCGGCTGCGCAAGGGACGCGGAGCCCAGACCCGGGAGGGGCGGGCGAGCGCGCGGCGGCGCCCGGCGGCTCCTCCAGGTGAGCGGCGGGGCCGGGGTGGGGCGCGCCGTCGGGGCTCCCCGCCCGCGGGGCCCCGCGCCCGGGGTGGGGGCGGCGCGGTCCGGCCCGGCTGCCGGCCACTTCCTCTCCGGGCGCCGGCGCCGCCTCGCCGGGCCGGGCAGCGGGCGGGCGGCGGGGCGTCGTCGGGCCCGGGCCCGCGTGGGTTCGCGTCCCGCCCCGATCGCCGGCCCCGCGCCCGCCGGCTCCCCCGGGGCGCTGGGATTCCCGGGCCCCGCGCGCCCGTGCGCGGCCCCGACCCGGGACCCGGCGCGCAGCCACTTGGGGGACAGACCGCGGGGGGCCCGGAGCCGGAGCCGGGGCGGGCCGCGAACAGGTGGGCTCGCTGGAGGACCGTCTGGGGCCGGGGTCCTCCCCGGGGCGCCGCCGCCCGAGCCTGGAGCCGGGCGGGATCCCCGGCTCCGCGCGGGCCTCGCTTTCAGTTCTGCACGGCGCCCCGCGTGCCGGGTCCCGGGGCCCCGCGGGCCGCGCGCTCCGCGGCGCTGAGATCGGCCCGCACCCAGGGACCCGAGGGGCCGCCCGGCGCCCGGGGCAGCGGCGGGGCCGCCGGGAGGAGACGCGGGGAAGAGCCGCGCGCGCCGGGGACCCCGACGCGAAGTGGAGGGCCCCCACCGGCCCCGGCCCCGGCCTCCTCCTCCCCCCTGACCCCGACCCCAGTCCCGGCCTCCTCCTCCTCCCCCCCCCCCGCCCCGCCTTCTCCTCCGCCCTCCCCCCCTCCCCTCCGCCCTCCCCCCTCCCCTCCGCCCTCCCCCCCATCACCCCCGACCCCCTCCTCCGCCCCCTCCTCCGCCCCCTCGTTCCCCCCCCCCCCCCCGGGGTCGCCAAGCCTTTATGAAAATGGAATTCTGAAACGCAGCTTTCCACGCAGCTTTCCAGATCCGGTTGCTTAGAAATGCCCCATCTGCCCCTCCACCCAGTTTGGTCTTTCTGACACTCATCCGGGGTGCCACTGTGTGCCCCGCTGGTCTAGAACCCTCATCCTCCTGCTGTCTTGTCTGTGCTGAGTACAGCCCTCCTGTGTAAATGGATATGTTGTATATATAATATTTTTGGTCGGTCGTGGGTCTTGAACTCTGGGCCTGGGCGCCATCCTTCAGCTCTTCCACTCAAGGCGATTGCTCTACAGCGTGAGTCACAGCACCACGTCCTGCTTTTTCTGTGTATGTGGTGCTGTGGAATCGAACCCAGGGCTTCATGCATGCTAGGCAAGCACCCTACCGCTGAGCCACCTTCCCAGTCCTATTTTATTTATGTAGTTGTAAAGGAAAAGGGCAGTGAGAATTCATGATCTTTCTGTCTGTCTGGGGCTGAGGCTGGGTTTGGGGTTCTCTCCCATGGGTGTTCGATCATAAGTACCTGTCTCCAGTGGGTGGGAGGTGCGCCTGAGAGCTGGTGCTGGTATCTGAGTTGCTCCAGCAGCTACGAAGTGAGCAGTACTTGGAATCCCGAGGCGGGACGGCACCTTGCCCTGGTGGTTGTTATGAAAGGGCTTTGTACTCCCCACTTTGTCCTTGATTTTGCCCTTAGAACTCAAGAGGCACCTGGCTGGTGCACAGTGAGACCGGGTTCAAATCCTGGTGCTTGCGGTGTGACCTTGGCCAAGTCCCTTCACCTCTCTATTTTCCAAAATGACAGAGTTAATGTATCTTTGGTGGTTGGACCGGGGGCTGCCAGGCCATTGCGCCCGATGGGGCGGAGCTGCGGGCTTCCTTCCTGTCTGGCCGGATTCTGCCACCTGCGGGGTTCTGAGGGGCCAGGGCCTGCTCTGAAGGGGCTCTGGGGCGCCAGGGCTTGGCCTGTGTGTCTTTGATGAAGTGGTGCTGTACACATTGGATGTACCTGGGGGAAGCAGGGTGGCCCCGGGGAGCCGGGCTGGGGGGCTGTTGAGTCTCCTGACTAGCAACTGCGAATGCCAGCGGGTTCTCGGGTCTCCCTGCCGGCCTTCCTGCCACCTGGCAGTGGTGAGATCCAGACACTTCCTCTTCCCAGGTGCAACCTCTGACCTCTGAACCCCCACCACACCCCAGACACACGGGGGGGGGGGGGGGGGGGGCGGGGGCGGGTGTCTCACTACCCACCTTCCCTCACCATGACACTGGGGGAGGCCTGACTTCTATCCCACACCTGGGAAGGCCTGGGGTCCCAGGGCTGGGTGGAGGGAGGAAGGGCAGAGGGCAGGGCAGGGGTGGAGGGAGGAAGGGAAGGGCAGAGGGCAGGGCCTGGCTCTTTCTCTGCCTGCTGCACTTGCATTGTAGCCTTGGTTCCCAGAGCCTGGCAGAGAGCGGACCCTGGACCGGTGCCGGCCGGCCGGTGGGTGTGAAGTCAGGGTCTCGCGTGAGGGTCACTTTGGACCCATTTTCCAGGTGAGGGAAGGGATCTAGATTTTGGGCAGTGAGGTGACTGGAGGAGGAGGCAGCTGCTATGCTGGTTCTGGTGTTAGAATGGGGTCTCTCTATAGAGCTATTTTGCAACCTTGAAGTTGTTACAGAGTAACACCTGGGAGGGGGTGGAGCTGTTAAGGGAATTTGGAGAGATGGGGGGGCCGGGGGGGGGGGGGGGGGGGATAAGGATGCACTGCCCACCGGGGTTGGCTTAGGAGCGCTGTCTTTGCAGCCTTGTTGTAAGGTCTCAGGTACCTGAGCGCAGCTGTGCGGTTCACTTTCTTTTCCACAGCTGGGAATGGAGGCTCAGCCCAGGATCCTCTGGGTCCCTCATGGTCCCAGCGCACACAGTGTCCCTTCTGTTTGGGGCCAGAATAAGGGAGCGGTGCGGAGGTGCGCTCTGGCTGCCGCTGCAGGGCTTGGAGCAGGGTAACATTTTTTCCTGGTCTTCGGGCTCCAACTCGGCTTGGGCGCTGTTCCTGAGCTCCTTCTTTTGCTCAAGGCTAGCGTTCTACCACTTGAGCTACAGAACCACTTCTGACTTTTTCTGTGATTAATTGGAGATAAAGAGTCTCAGGGACTTTCCTGCCCAAGCTGGGTTGGGATTACAGGCGTGAGCCTCAGGTGCCCGGCTGGATGACATGGTTTGATTCCTGTCCTGAAGTCTTTCTGTCTGCTGGGTTGAGCATGGCCCCCAGGGGTCAGGGCTGATAGGGCACCCCAGGGCAGGTAATCAGAAGAGGGGGAGGGCTTGGACCCCAGGGGAGCCGGCGGAGGAGAGGGTTCGATTCTGGGTTTGCTGCCAGAGTTTGCTTGTGGGTGTGAGAATGCTCAGACAAGGATTTCTCCAGAACTCGGGCCTAAGCGCCTCTCTGATAAGCACCTGCCACCCACGCACATGCACACGGGCACTCGGCTGTGGCTTCGCCTTCCAGAATGTTCCAGCTGCCTGCTTAGAAGGGATGGATGGATGGACGGAGGCCTGGCAGGCAGCTCCCCCGGGATTTGACGTTTCCTGCCATTTTGGTTTGCTTTCCAGTCTCTCAGGACTCTACAGACATGTTGGGACGGCTTTTCTTTTTGTCTGTTCCTGGTTTGGGCGTGGGGCGTGGGGAGGTGTTAGAAGTCGCAGGAGGAGAGCGTGGGGTGCCGGAGCCCATCGGGGCTGCTTTGCTGATCTCACGCTGGACCCGAGCGGCTGCGTGATTTGGTTATTCAAAGCTGCTCTGCCGGTGGGTCGGGAGGTCAGGCGCCTCCCACAGCTGGATTTCCATTTAGGCCCTGCGACCTGCATGGATTCTCCCAGCAGCCAGCGACCTCCTCTTACTAGAACCTTCTCTTCCTCACAGCCATGACCTGTTAGCTAACTCACCCCACCTGAGCTGATTGAACTCTTTATCCCGCCCCACCAGAGTCCTTGCTTCTGCTGCTCCTGCCCGGCGTGACCGACCATGACCACCGTGGGCAACGTGGACACCCTTCCCGAGCATGAGAAGAGTCAGCTCAAGAGGGCTCTGGAGCTGGGCACCGTCATGACCGTGTTTAGTTTCCGCAAGTGCACCCCCGAGCGGAGGACCGTGCAGGTGATCATGGAGACGCGGCAAGTGGCATGGAGTAAGACGGCGGACAAGATGGAAGGCTTCTGTGAGTACTGGCCGGGACGGGCCGCTGGCCGGGACAGGCCCCTCCCCTGCTCCCCGCCTCCTCCTCCCCCCCCCCCCCCCCCCCCCCCCCGCCTTTGGTGGTTGGTGCTCCGGTGAATGAGTTTCTACCTTGTCGGCGCACAGAGCTTGCTCTATGGAGAAAGTGCATCCAGGAAAACTGTGCCGTGACAGATGCGTGGAACTGGCCAGTTTGGAAGCTGGCATTCCGACACTGTGCGGCCTCTGTCGGCTTGGACAGGGTGTCCATCCCCACGGGAGCTCGGTGGCCTCAGCCGTGGAAATGCCCAGCTTTGTAGCCAAATGCCAGCTGGAGTTTCCTGCGGACCCCAGCAGGGAGAGGCCTTTCTTGGCTCTGTCCAAGAGAGCAAACACATGGCTGAAGGTTCTAGAACTTTCCAGCACCACTCTGGTTCTGGTGGAGGAGCTGCCTCTCCTCTCCCTCACCTCCTTCCCGATTTGTTAGCACATCCAAGCTCCATGTGCAGGAGGCGCGCTTGACTTTTGATTTGTTCTTAATCGAAAATTTAAAACACATTCCTTGAATCCCAGCACTGGGGCAGAATCTCTAGTTTGAGGCCAACCTGGCTGTCTCGAATAACAAAGCAACACAAGACAACGGGTCAAAGAGTGGGGGTTGAGGCAGCTCATCGGTACGCGTGTCGGTACGCGTGTCGCCAGGTCCTTCACCCCCCGCGGCTCGCTCGTTACCAATTTCTTTTGTCTTCCAGAAACACTTTATGCTTGTGTAATATGTGTGTGTACGTTTTACACAAATGGGAACTCCTCTACAACCCTCTGTACCTTTTTCCCCTCCACTTCATAATTACCTGGGGGTGCTGACTTATCCCCGTTCTTTCCTGGCCTGGACCCGTTCTGGGCGTGGCTGCCGGGTGACAGCTCAACGCAGGACGTTTACTGCGAGTGTAGTAATCATCCTTTGCATTTTTGGTGGTTCATTGGACAGTAGAGTCTCATGGACTTTCCTGCCTGGATTGGCTTCGAACCACGATCCTCAGATCTCATCCTCCTGAGTAGCTGGGATGACAGGCGTGAGCCACCGGCGCCCAGTTTCCATATTTTTTCTTTAACTTGGCATCACGAAGAGGGGTCACCGTTACCTGAGGCAGGTAGCGAGTACATTTGTCTTTGGGCAGTGTCACCCTCCATACAGTTTTAAAGGCATCCAGTTACCCAGCCTGGGGATCAGCCCGGCATCTTATTGGTTTTGGATATTGTGTAGTCTCCTATTTTCCTGTGTCAGCCATCCGTTCTGGGAACACTTTCACAGCCAACTTGAGGCCCTCTCTTGGTATTTTCCATAGCACGGACCTCTGCAGGAGGACCAGAAGGCCACGCGTCGGGCCGGGGCCCAGTGTGGTCAGTGTGTTCGTCCATCCGCCCCACCTCCACGCCTGCCAGGGTCTGGGCAGGCGCCATTCAGAGTTTGCAAATGGGGCAGCGAAAGCCCAGTCCCCGGGGCGTGGCCCTGCTTCCTTCCCTCCTGACGGTGTTTGCTCTGGCTGGGCTGGGAAAACCTCAGCAGCCATCAGGCTTCTCTTGGCCACAGGACCAACAGTCTGTCCCCGACTGGCACCGCTGCGTGGGTGCGTGGTGAGCCCGGATGAAGGCTGCTGTTCTTCCTCGGCCCCGCCTCCTCCGTGGAGTGACCAGCCAGGGCTGGCGGCTGACGCTCGGGGCTGGCGGCTGGCGCTCGGGGCTGGCCGTGCTGACTCTTGCTGGCGTCCGTTTTCCTTCCCATGTTTGAGCCGAGCGTGGGGGGCTCCCGCCTGTCATCCTGGTCACTCAGGAGGCTGAGATCTGAGGATCTAGGTTCACAGCAACCTCGGGCAGGAAAGTCTGTGAGACATGTATCTCCAAACCAGCAAAAAGCCAGAAGTGGAGATGTGGCTCAAGTGGTAGAGCATAGCCTAGAACAAAGAAGCTCAGGAATAGCATCCAGGCAGTGGGTTCAAGATGCAGTGCTGGCAGGTGGGTGCCCATGTGTGTGTGTACACACGCATACACTCATGAGCATGTGTGCGTACGCACACCCACACGCGCGTGAATAAGGCTTCAGTGACTTGCAAATTGAAGTGGGTTCCAGAAATACCTGCTGTGCAGAGTCCCCAGCAGAATTTTCTCTGGATTGAAAGGACTTGAACTTATTTCCATTCCCTTCCTTTTAGCTTCTGGAAGCTTCCCTCAGTAGATGTTTCATTGACAGGTGTTGTATAGCTAACCAACACTTCTAACTATCCTTATCAAGAGGATAGCTACCATTTTTATTTTTATTTTTTTTATCATTTTCACTTTATGAAGCAATAGTTCTGTTGAAGCCTGCCATAGAATTCATCCATTATGACGTATAATCTAGTTTGTTTGCTTTTTAGTGTGTTTATGGATCGGTGCCAGTGCAATTAGTTAATATTAAAATGATTTCAAATCCCATACACTGAGCAGTTGCCCCCTCTGCCTCAGTTTCTGGCAATAATAAATTTGCCCTGCGTGTTTGCTGATCCTGGACACTTCACATGAAGCAATCATAATTGTGGCCTTCGCTTCTGACTTCTGATTTAGCATGTTTTGGACTTAATCTTCATTGCAGCATGTGTCAGGACTTTCTTGCTTTCTATTGCTGTGTAATATTCCATTGCCTGGAGAGGTGACTTCTGCTGCCTTGGTGGTCATACATTGCTTCCTCATCTTGGATCAGAGATCCTATTTGCTAAGAGCTATTTTCAGGCATAAAAAGGACCACTTTTAGCCTGAAGGGCCACGGTTAGCTTCGTAGCTGGCTGAGTCTGGCCGGGACAGTGTTATAGAACGCCATCTGAAAGCCAAACCAAAAGCCAAACTTCCATGGTTCAGATGGCAGAGCACTTGCCGAGCAAACTCCAGAGCCTGTGTTCAATCTCCAGTACTGTGCTAATTTTTTTTTGTGTGTGTGTTGGTCATGGGGCATGAGCTTAGGGCCTAGGCGATGTCCCCAAGCTTTTTCACTCAAGGCTAGAGCTCTACTACTTTCTTCCAGTTTTCTGGCAGTTAATTGGAGATAAGAGTTTAATGGTCTTTCCTGCCAGGGCTGGTTTTGAACCATGATCCTTAGATCTCAGCTTCCTGAGATCTACAGCTGGTGTGGTGGCCTGAGCCTATCTAGATCCTAGTTATGTTGGAGGCATTCAGAAGGCTCTCAGTCCGGCCTAGTGCATACCCTGTCCCCGAACCCCTTTCTCTCAGGCCTGGAAAGCCGCGATCCCTATGGATCTGCCTCTTTTGAGCGTCTCATATTCATGGCAACACTTAGTGTGAGACCTTTGGTGTCTGCTTTCTTTTGTTTACAGTAGTGTTCTTGAGGTTTTCCATGCTGTGTGGAGTATGCCAGTGCTTCTTTTATATGTCTGAGTAGGATTCCGTTCCATGAATAGACCACACTTGAAAAAAATCCATTGAATCCAGGTGCTGGTGGCTCATGCCTGTAATCCTAGCTACTCAGAAAGCTGAGATCTGAGGATCGAAGTTTGAAGTCAGCCTGGGCAGGAAAAGGCCATGAGGCTCTTTTATCTCTAACAATGCCCCCAAAACCAGATGTGGAGCTATGACTCAAAGTGGTAGAGCACTACACACACGTCCTCCATTCCTCCATTCCTTCATGGACATGGGGATTTCTTCCGTCTTTTGGGTGTTAGCACACTGTGTCCCTGTGGATATCCATGCATGGCTTTGGCTTCGGCGTGGGCTTTCAGTTATTTAGGACGTATACCTTGATGTGGGGTTGCTCTGGTTGGTCCGTTGGGGGAGTTACCGGCTCCCTTGTGTGGGACCATGCCATTTTGTGTTTTCCTTCTGGCTGTTTTGGGGGTGAGCCTCACTGTGCCCCAAGGGGGTTGAACCTGTGATGTCTGCCAGTGAGAATGGCCAGGAGAGTCCTGAGGGGCTCGGGGCCGCCTGGGGCCCCAAACCACCAGCTCAGGGTTGGAGTTCCAGCTCTGTCTCGTGCCGTGTGCAGCCTTGAACCAACACCGGGGCCTTCCCACTGCAGAACAAAGAGAGACGGGGCTCAGGCAGGCGCCGGGGGCCTGGGCGCCGTGAATGCTGCCGCAAGGAGGCGGAGGTGGTTTTTGCTTCTCTGGGAGACCCTGGGATGTTTTGCCCCTGATGGGCACCCAGGGATGGGCCGCTGACGCCTCTAACGTGGCCTTTCTACTCCCTGTGGCCCTGTGGCCTCCGCTAGGCCTCACCTGCGGCCCTGGGCATGCGCGTCATCACTTCCAAGAGCAGCCTGGCCTTGGCTCTGTCCCGCTGTCCGCGTGGCTTCCGTGGGCATTCCTGCACAGCTACATGTAAACGAATGAATAAGAGAGAGAGGAGAAGCCCTCAAGGTTTCTGAAGTCTGGGCCCTGGAGCTTTCGTGATAGCACTTTTTGTGTGCCAATACTGGGCCTTGAACTCAGGGCCTGGGTGCTGTCCCTGAGCTCTTTTGCTTAAGGCTCATGCTCTACCACTTTGGGTCACAGTACCACTTCCAACCTTCTGGTGGCTCATTGGAGATGAGAGTCGCACGGACTTTCCTTCCTGTGGCTGTCTTGGAACTGTGATCCTCAGATCTCAGCCTCCTGAGTAGTGAGGATGACAGGCGTGAGCCACCGGGCCCGGCTATCACTGTATCTCAGGTTATTATTGGTCAAAGTGGGTTTCCAGGGCAGGGAGAAGAAACAGACCTGTGTGCTTAGTGGGAAGAGCGTGGGAGGTGTGTCTCATTGTTCTAGAATCTTCTTCACCCTCTGTCATCCTGAGGAACACTGTCCACCCTTTCGTGCAGCTGTGTCCTATGTCCCTAAAGCCTTGGTTGATTAAAGTTCTCCCAGGCACCGTGGCTCACACCTGCCATGCTAGCTACTCAGGAGTCTGAAATCTGAGGATGGCGATTTGAAGCCAGCTCAGGCAGGAAAGTGCCTGAGACTCTTTTGTTTTTTTTTTTTT